TACTCTGAAAATATAATTTTAATTTAATAAATTTTTTGTAACGTAAACACTTTTAGAATTTTAATTTTCAGTTTACTAGAATTTTATAAAAATTTGTATGAAGAAGCCAGGAATTACTTCTTTGAATTTCTCCAAAAAAAAAATTCTTCACAGAAAAAATTTAAAGTGCAAACATTATTTTAATTTATTGCCCATTTAAACGCAACATCCTGACTTTATCTTTCTTTTTTATAATTTTACTATGATATAATAGTTTTACAAGCTCACCATATCAAAACCGACATCGTAGTGTGTGCCTCTGGTGTAAAGCACGGGAATTGCTTGGCGCCTTGGAATATTTTTAGCTGTCATCTTTATCAACACCGTTTATCAACAACAATTATTTAGCTAGCACTAGTTGCTTTAATTGCGCGCTTAACAGAGTGATTAGCGATTACTAAGAATATCAACCGACAAATCAGTAATATGAAAATGTTAAATATCCAATTGAGAAGACAACCAAAAATATTATCGACGCTAAAATGTAGGCGTACACGCTGACTTTAACCGCCGGAAATATTAGCATGCGTTACGTAGACGTTAACGCGTTTGTTTTTATTTATTTTTTGTTAAAAAAACGCCACAAATTTTAAGTGACAAATTAAATCTCAGCGTTGCTAATCGTTGGTAGTTAACACGAGCTCGACGTCGCCAATTAATTGACACGAATATTGAATTATATTATGAAGTATTTATATTTAAAAAATTGGAGTTATTTTTTGTACTGAGTTCCTGTTTCCAGTTAGGTTCCGGGCAGCTGCAGACCGTTTGGCGGCAATTCACAAACTGAATGAATTGCAAATGCTTAGCAGCGAATAGACTTCGCCGTTTACCGGCTGTTTTCCAATTGCTGTCGTTGTTTTTATTTTCAGCCGATTGGTTCGTTGGCTTTTTGGTGTCCGTCTGGTGTCGTGCGGCGTCAAACTGCTATGTTCTACTGCTTGAAAGTGTTCTACAAAATAAAAAGATAACGAAAATCGTTTCAGCGATAGCAAACATACTCACATACACGAATAAGAACATATATGTGCATACGTATTTACCTCAGCGAAATAGTCGCCGATTTGGGGCTGTTCAAGTGCTTACGAAGATAGCTGTGTTTGCTTTGCTGTTGTGACTACAGGTGTGTTTGTGTGTGTATGTGCTTTGTTTGGGGCTGGCTCAAGCTGTTACCGCTGCTAACTCTAGGAGAAGCCAACAATGTTTATTTGCGCTTGTGGTTTTATTCAATATTTAGTTGCGTTACCGTTAAGCGGTTTTTGACTATTGAAATTTACGCAAAGCCGCTGACACACACTCTACCCYATTTAAATAGTTATGTATGTATGACTGTTTGTCGCTTACATTGACATAGGCACGTGACCATAACATAACACAAGTCAAATGTTGACATGACAACCCGCTGTGGGGGTGCATGCGCTCGGATATTCATGCAAAGACACACACACATATTATAAGTCTAAGCGTTACATTTTAAATGCATTGAGTCATATCTAATATATATTATATATATTCATAAAATGCTCTAAGCTGTAGAATTATCGCAACAAGCGCCGACAAAGCATTTCTAAGCGGCCCAAACGATCATTTTTCAAAGGCGCTTGATTCGATTTTGAACTTTTAATAGACCGGCGTGTGAAGGAAACAATGCAATAGTTCAAAATCAATTAAATCTCGCTCAGTAGACATTTCATTCCATTCATTTAGTTAGATTGTGTAAAAGTGGTTAGGTGCATTTCGAGCTGGTGCAATACCTTTTGGTTGTTTTGCATTTTTGGTGACGATATATGCTTAGAAAGAAGTCAGCCTTAAACTATTTCTTACTTTTGCCAAAGAACTAGAAAGAGAAGTAGAAGGGTTTCAATAGCGTGAGATAAAACCAAGTTCCTCTGTAAACTGTAGCTCATAAAACCTAGTAATACCTAGTAAAACCGTAGGAGTACTACGGTGTCTGATAGTGCACATTTCAGAGATGAGAGAAATAAAACTAATCCACAAACATGCACTGAAGTGTGCTAATATAAAGAAAGAAAAAGAAAAATGTGTCACTACGGATACTGCTCTAAATCAATCTGTTTCTAGACCAATATTTCATTCAAATCTCGAATATACTTGGAATAAAAGTACAATATATTTAGTAAAACCAATTCGGGTCGGCCAAGTTTAATTGCGATGATATTTTCTTATAGGCTATGGTGGGTCAAATTAAGTTTTATGATCGGAAAAGTTGTAAGGGGTCCGAATAATTTATTATTTTTTGCGACCGCTGAATTTTAAGAGATTAAGACAAATCTCATAACAAACATATAAATCCAAAATTTCTTCGATTCTTACATGAGAACCTTAACTTTAATTCCATTTAATAAATACCTTTCCAATTGCACTATGCAATTACTTTCTTTTTTGCCGTAGATACCGCTTACACAGTCATAGCCGAGTTAACAACAGCATGCCAGTCGCCTTTTCGTTGTTAGGCGTCAATTCAAAGGACCAAGTGCCGCCAGGTCCTTCTATACTTGAACTCTTCAACGGGGCGGAGGCCTTCCTCTTCCTTCCTAGCTCATCGTTCCATCAACTGCGGTATTCGCCGTTGTCAATACGCAATAAACCATAAGTCTTTCGCAAAACATTTCCCTCGAACACTCCAAGGCCGACTCATCAGATGATGTCATCGGCCATGCCTTTACCCTTTGCTCATCGAGAGAGGACTTTACTTTCAATTATCCACTCAGATCAACGTAGCACCTGTTGGCAAGAGTCAGCCTTGTTTTTGGTGTTGATGCTGGTTCCAAGATAGACGAAATTATCTAAGACTTCGAAGTTATGACTGTCAACAGTGACGTGAAAGCCTAGCCGCGAGTGCGATGACATTTTATGTGATAGCAGGAGATATTTCTTCTTGTCCTCGTTCAAAAGCAGACTTGCTTTGTTTCCTTATCGAGTCAGGAGAAAGCACAACTAACGGCGCAGTTGTTGGGACCAATGATATCAATATCTTCGGCGTACGCCAGCAGCTGTACACTCTTATAAAAGATTATACCTACTCGATTAAGTTCTGCAGCTCGAATTATTTTCTACAACAGTAGATTGAAGAAGTCGCACAATATGGAATCGCCTTGTTTGAGAGGTCTTTTGGCGGAGCTTTTAGCGTTACGCCACGTCAGCTTACACAGTCGTATTAGTCCGGTCTTTGCACCAAATTCAGACATAGTGGCATAATGGCAGCCCCTTTCGTGCTATCAAAAGCAGCTTTAAAATCGACGAAGAGGTGATATGTAAATTTTCCAGGTCTAAAGCCACACTGTGATATTTAGGAGGGTTATCCTACGGTAATTGGTGTAGATTGCGACCACAACCAGGCAGTTTGATCTACTAATCTGGAACAGAGCGGAAACTGTCAACTAGGCACAATTAAAGAAAATTATTTGGAGAATATTTACTCGATCTTCAACAACATCGCCAACTGCCAACATCTAATGGATTTTATGAGAATTTTTTTAATTGCAGAAATAGCTTGCTAAGTGACGTCAGCCTCACATAAATATAATCTATAGACTCAATTTAGATTAAAAAGGTAATGCATTGTTTGATGCCAAGAACAAAAGAGTAGATATTGTGCTGAGCTACAAGCCTTGCTATTTTGCTGCAATGGATTGCAATAAAATTATTCACAGAAAATTTTAATAATCTTTACTATGTCATATATGTATGAATGTATGAATGTATGGAAATTTGTATTATCCTCGTAAAGATGAAATACTCTTACCCTTTGAACAAATTATTTACAAAGACAAGAGCCTAATTCTAATGTACTGATTACACACTACAGTCATTAATATAGAAGTAATCGTTGTAATTTATATATACATCTACATATATAAAATATGTATATATGTATATGTGCATAAAATGATAAGCAGCTAAGAGCACTATAAAACAAAAGTAAAAATAGCTGCTCATCATTGTAGATTATTAGGTGACAAAAAGATGAGTGTTTTTAACATCTCTTTAACTTCAGATGTTCATACATATGTCTAGGTATATGCTTGTATGTGTATATTTGCATCTAAAAATCACATGCATATACATATAAGTGAGTGAATTGGCATTTTAAAAACGTCTACTGTAATTAATATAATTTTGTGCATAAATCTCACAGCGAGAAAATTTGTTGAGACATTTATTGCTTTCTAAATGTAAAAATGAGTTAAAGCTTTTCGTTTTGTTTTGGGAAAAATGAGGCTATTGTTTACTAGTTAAATGGAAAACACATTTATATAGTATATTATATAGGGTGATCCATTTTGAGGCTCAATACTTTTTCAAAGAAAAAACAGAAGCTTTTTGAAGATTATCCAGGCAGGAAAAAGTATAATGGTGGCCAATCGACCAGCCAAACTTTAAATTATCTGCTTACCGAAGGGTTCTCTAAATAAATCCATTGATTGATGCGATGTACTCCGTCTTGTTGAAACCAAATGTCGCCGAGATCACGACCTTCAGTTTCAGGCATCAAATAATCGGTTATCGACGTGCGTTATCTTTTTTTTGACGGTGCGATCTTCTTGGAACTTTTCAATAGCCCATTGAGCAAATCGATGTCGTTGAAGAAGGTCGAGCGGCTTCAGAGCGACTTCAGACCGGCTTATTGCACAAACTGTATTTTTAACATTTTCAAATTAAGATCTCAACGAATAATGCGCCAAGTCATTCCATGTGTCAGTCCGAATTGCTGCGAACAGTCTTCGTGTCGGCTGTTATATTTTCTTCACTGCGTGCTGGACGTGGTCTATTCGTTCGAATATTATCCAGCAATGAATGTTGGGTCTCAAGATAGTTGATGAGGTTGCGAATACTACGCCGATTATGTTGACCATAGGTTGGGCAAAGCGCGCGAAACCCATTCTATACAGAACGTGAATTTTCGTAATAAACATTTTTAAAGTTTTCAGGCGTAAGTCTTTCCATGATGAAATGCTTAACAATACTGAATAAAAATAACATGACAGCTTGACACGACTCACGCGTAGTCTACCAAAAATAGGCTATTGATAAAAGTGACGCTACTTCGATAACCCGTTAATATTCCAAAGGTTGCCTTTTAGAGTTATTGACTTTTATTTGAAGTAAAGCTCAGCAATTTTTATGAAATTTCTAATATTTTTTGGTTTTTATGTTAAAAAATTTGATATCATTTAATATGTGATGATTTTTGGCTACTTTGGCTAAGTTTATTGCTCATTGGTCAATCGTAGCTAATCAGCATGGAGGATTGACTGTACGTCATCCACAAAAGAAAGTCTAACGTAGTCAAATCCATCACACAGGTGTTACATATTCTCCAAAAGTTACTCTCAAAAATTTAATTGCCTGAAATTAGCTATTTCTAGATGCTAGAGAGTTTCTAATGTAAAATGTCTACTTTGCCAGCAGGTTTGACAGCTGTCCCGCTAGGAAATTTGATCACTCAAAATATACACCCATCATATTTACAAAAATATTGTGATATTCCATTGTTTGTATTATCAGTGCGATTGAACAATTAAAATATTGTGGGTGAATGACTCAAAGTAAAGAATTCTTCATTTACATTTTTACATATCAGCTTCTTTTTGAATATACACTAATATATAACTGTGTTATCACTTAAAATATTTTCAAATATTTCCCCAAGTGTCATAACATTATATATGTTTTTGTTTTGTTTCGAAYGAACGAAATCGTTTAAACGTGACATAAATTATAATTTTTGCTCAAAATAGCACCCACTTTTATTGATACCAACATTTTTTTCATGAATACAAATTTACGTATTGCAAAGATGGTGCGGTAAAAATACTCATGTTTTCTAGAAACTAGCTCATAAACTAGTTGTACGTATATGACGTGAAGGAGCTTTTTGAGGAGAGTTAAATTCGGAGGAACCGCTCTGTAAGATTGTCAACGAACATTTTAAGGTATTACAAACAACCGTTAACTGCAAAAAAAAACTTTATTATATATCGAGAGTTTTTATTTATAAACTGCCACTCATAGGAACAATTTTTACTCCGGCCAAAAATAGTCACACCTTTTCATTTCGTCAAAAACACTTTTTCTAGGTTGGTAGAACTATCGGTGACTTCTGTGTCAAATAACACATTAAAACAATCATTCGTGTTTAGTATACACTTCTCTTTCTGAAGTACATAAAGTGTATTCGGCGATTTTTACGATGAGTGAAACAAAGAAGTTTCATTAAATTAGTGATAATTGTTTGTCGCGAGCAAGTGTTTTCGATTGATACAACTTATTCAAAGATGGTCGAGAACACGAGAAACTTATGATCAATATGTCAATAAAATAAAACAATTGATGCTTGAGAATCGATGACTAACAGTCAGACGGCATCTAGTGGTTATAGAACAAAATATATATACATATAAAATAAGGAAATGCCATATCGTGGAATCAGAACCATTTAGATGGTACGAGAAAAATAGGAGATAAAGGAGCAAGCTAGGGGAAGAAAATATATCTCATTATATAATATTTACGTTCAAAAACCGAGAAAATCATGGTAAGTCTTAAAATCCGTATATAAATCTGCACGGCCTCTTGCAGACTCGGAATATCTGCCGAACTGACAGGTCTGTTGGCGAAACAAATTCATAAAATAACTTAATGATTACTATGTCTCGAATACGTAATCATTATTAAGTAATTGAACCTCACGATGCAATTGATAAGCAACGAATAAATACTCTTACAAATCTGCCTGTTAGAACAAATCACGTGCAAAAATATCACTAAACTGACATAAGAGCAAACTTCACCACGCTGCCGTCTCTCCAATATCTACCGACTGACTTTTGCAATGATTTGAAAATGTCAATTCATTCATTGAAATTTTTTATAGACATACATACAAACATATACATTACTTTGTGGATTTAGCTATTCACATGTCGATAATATCAAATGGTATTCGTTGATTATTAGCATACATATACAGTTATTGCCTTGCCAAGTCCATTAAGTCATTCTTAGAAATCGTATAGCACTCAATCACCACAAGCTACGCAAAACGCAGTCAATTATTTAATGATCATAACATTATTTCTCAGAGTATTTTACAAAATCATCGTCGTTGCCAAAGTGGAAATACTTTATTTTTTTCCTTCATCTAAAAATGTCTAGTTAGGGTTTAAGTACAATCACGGAAAATATTATATTTGGTTAGTTAGAAGTTAGTAACCACTTATTATGGCCACATATCGTATTAGATCAAGTTTAGTATTAACAGCTTTTGCCTATAATTACAAAAAATATTAACTTCGCTTGATTTCTGCCGGCATTAGTCCCCAACTGATTCTTTACGTACTAGTCTGATGTTGATGTTTTACTATTAACGGGTGATCCAACTAGAGGTACTTTTGTCAAAAAAATTTTTAACAGATCACTTGTGAGTCGTGTCAAGCTGTTATGTTATTTTTGTTCAGCAATGTGTGGCATTTCATCATGGAAAGGAAAGAGTCGATTCGGCTCCATTCGCAGCAACTCGTACTGACCAGAGAATGTTCTTTCGAATGATAATTAACATTCTCCTTTAAATTTGAAGTTTCTGAGTTTTTCTTTAAAAAGTAGGGAATCTCGACATGGATCACCTTTTATAAAATTTGTTTGTAAAAAATAAATGTTTTCCCATGGCAAAGATCAGCGTTAAATTCGCACTTTCATTTACTTTCATCTGACATAACTAATATCGCAAAAATCGTTAAAAACTGTCAAAACAAATAACTATTACGAAGATACATGTATATATATACA